GTAAATCTGATTTGCGTTTAACGTTTTTCGTGATTTTACAAATTATAGTGACTAATAATAAATAAGTTTTTGTTCTCAATGTTTTTTTTATAGTTAAATCAAGTTTTCTCTTCATCATAGTTCCATTCCACCCTTTTTCTATATCATCCACAATTCCACAATTTGTTATTATTATCATGCAGGTTTACGTACCATAAATTTTCAATATTAAAATTAATTTTAGAAAAATAATTAACTCAAGTGTTTTTTATTTTTTAGAAAAACATCTATTGGTATTTGAAAGTTGTTTATTTTTGCTAAAAGTAATTGAAAGTTTTTTTTGTTTTCTGCTAAAATTTGTAAGTACCTGAAACTTGAAAGTTGTTATACTATGTTATATAAATAACAATAATCTTCACCGTATATCATCTATCTATAGGTCTTTGCAAATCACGGTGGGAGAGATTCGGCAAGAACACAGCCGGAAAATATGAGTACGTCGATGTTCAATGCAACGGCGGAGAACATAGCCGTTACATCGTAGAGACAAACCTCGCCGGAGAATTTGAGATAGCCCGACCAACAAAGAGGTACGTCTCACTACTAAACCAAGTGCCACGTGTCTTCGTGGGAACTCCTGCGGAGTTGAAACAGCTCGTGAGGATCATGTGCCACGAGATGAGACGGTCGATGAAGCACGTGGAGATCCACGTGCCACCGTGGAGGAGAAATGGTTACATGCAAGCTAAGTGGTTCGGTTTCTATAAACGAACTTCGAATAACGAAATGGTTCATAGTGGTACCGTTGATACGACAACGTTTAAAGGTTGCAAAGAAGAGTTTTGGAAAGCGAAAGGTCTTAAAGTTATGGTTGGTCAGCTTACGGTTGCTTTCAACGCTAGTTAGGTTTGAAGTAGGTTTGAAGTGTAACAGTAATACAATCAGTAAATCATTTTTTTTTTTTAGTTTTGAACTAATGTAAGATAATTTCGGATTTTGCATGTAAATAGTAATATTTTTGGGGATTTAGTTTAAGCAAATCAATAAGTGTTTTCTTTTTACTAGATAAATTAAACACGAACTCGAGTCCCAACTTTTTTTTTGTGTTGGAAAAAAAACAATTAGTTAAATTGAAATAAATTTGATTTGGTCTGTTTAGTTAAAACCATTCCGAAATGCCACTCTTCTAAACTACCAGGACATGATAAAGGATTATAGTAATTTATAATACGTAAAATTATTGTATCCCTGGCATTTTTTGGGTCTTTTTAATGCTTTTTTGGTCTTTTTGATGCTTCGATTGCATAGAAAAAATATTTCCATCTTTCCCTTAAATAGAGGGTTACGTTGAATTATAGACTCCTTAACCTTGACACGAAGATTGGATAGTACGAAAATTCGTACATAAGGAACTATAACGTCTATAGTCTTTGCTTTCGATGTGAAATGAGTTCGGAGGTTCAATAATTTACAGATCATGGCCCAGTGACAATGTGAAGACAAAGGGTCAAATACAAGTCTTATATTTGGAGGCCCGTTAATAATTTTATTTTCTGTTACAACACTGTTATAAAAAAACGCCTACATTACCATGGCAATTACATCTTTTTTTTTTGTCATCACTGATTATATTACCAAGGGCCCAATCCAAATATTCACATGTTACCAGCTTTATCATAACTCCCTCAATCAAAACAAAAATTAGAGGGATCAAAAAGGCAAAGCAATGCCAT